TAGGGTATCCCCAAAAAATGTATACACACTTTGAATGATTATAAAGTTAGTGTTTATTAACATACAGTTCATTTTCGAAATTTAAAAGTCTACAGAAATGAATACATTTGTTGTTGTTGTTCAATGTGTTTTCAAACTGGTGACTATTCTGCCAATAATGTGAAGCAATGGAATCACAAACATCAAGTATCATTTCGTTCAGGATTCGTGCACCCTCAATTTGTAAACTGTTGCCAGTTTTGTACCTAACTTATCTTTTATGTATTCCCATAAAATAGTCCAATGGATAAATTTTCTTTGTTCAGAGCTTAGTCTGACTTCACCCATTATTTCAAATCAGTTAAACCTGAAAAGGAGTAAAAATTAAGTATCAGCCGTTAAAGTGTATACATTTTGTCCCCAAAAAATGTTTACACACTTTAATTATAAAGGCAGTGTTTGTACTTCAACTGCGTGTTCAAACTCCCAATAACATTTTAAGGATGAATTTCTTTTGTTTTTGTTAGTTTCTTTATTTTTATTCATTTCAGAGAGTAGGGAGAGGGAGATAGAAACATCAATGATGAGAGAGAATCATTGACGGGCTGCCTCCTGCCTGCCCCCTACTGGGGAAGGAGCCCACAACCGCACCTCCGCCATGTGCCCCTGTCCCCAATGGAACCTGGGAGCCTTCAGTCCACAGGTCGAGGCTCTATCCACTGAACCAAGCCGGCTTAGGCTTAATTTCCTGTTTAAAGCTTAGTCTGGCTGAAAAGAAAGAAACATAAATTGAGCTATCAGCTGTTAAAGTGTGTATACATGTTTTTGGGACACTATTTTCGCGGAAGGCATACCTAAATAAACGCATGCGCCAAACCGGAAACTGGGAGTCAGAGAGGACAGACAGAAACTGTGTAAAACCACCCAGCGACTCTGGGTTAGAAGCAGATTAATTTTCCTAGTAACAAACGAGGCCCACCGCTACCGCAGCTGACACCCAGCCATTTTCCCGCACGGGTTGGCGAGCAAATACCGCCCCTAGGCAGAGGGGCGGTGTTACGTGGAGCCATAGGCAAGGGCTACCGGAACCAGGCAGATTGGAGAGGCCGATTGGCTGAGTTTCAAGGCGGGGCCAACAGAGAAGGCGCAACAAATTTCCGTCTCCAACTACGCGACTAAAGTGTCTAACGTCACGTCCGGTCTGGTGGGCGGGAGCGGGAAACAAAAGGAGGCCTAGAACGCATGCGTTCGGTGTGCCCAGGTTCAGGTGGGTTCTTCCGCTGAGGCGGAGTGAAGTGCTTCCGGGTCACTGCCGGCTGCCGCCTCCCGGCGCGGTAAGTACAGAAGTAGGACTGCGTCTGCGGTCTCTTTGCCCCTTCTTCCCTACCCCAGAGAAACCCGGCTCCCTGACCCTCCTCCCCCAGAGATCCGTGTTTAGACTACCCTTCAATATTAAAGAGCGCCAGCTCATTGGCCGCTTCCGCGAGACGAAGCCCCACCCCGTCACACAGGTTCCATCACTCATTGGTCTTGCGTCTTGTCACCCAGCATTTCTTCCAGTTAATTGGCCCTATTTAAGCCCCGCTCCTTTCGTCTTTAGCAACCCTAGAAGGGTAAATGCGTCTCCGAACCCCGCCCCTGCCTTATTCCTGTTGGTCAGCCTCACGGTCATTATCATAATAAGCAAAAGAATGGGCGGTGGCTTTGCGGCTACGGTTTGGGTTTTCGGAACTTGTGTCTCTGTGCCGCTCAGTAATTCTGGGGCATGATGGCTGGTACTGTTGTGCCGGTGATGGGGTCTGGGAAGCTCAGGTTCACGGAAGGGTAGGGCTGGCCCTGAATGGGCCAAATAAGTTAGGGCGAAAGCAGAACTAGACCGAGATCCTTTCTCCTGCTCATCGCTAGTAGCGGACCGGGCCTCTTCCCCGCCGGCGTCCTAAGCCTCATTTACTGTGTGACCTAGAGCCCCGTCGTTGCCTGTTGCTGAGCCTCCGTTTTCCTGTGAGCCGAAAGGTTTTAATTCATGTTCCCTGGGACCTTCTTGGTCAGCTCCCTCAGCTGCTTAATCCGAGCGGAATGTAGTTGTTCTCTCACATGTTAGTTCATTCAGCCTCCCATCCACTTATGTATACATGTACCCATGCCTTTAGAAAGTCTTAGTGAACCATACTTGCACGCCCGCCCCCCCCCCCCCCCAAATTTGGCTGTGGTCTATGAGAGGTGATTAGTGTCCTAAGTTTCAGACACTGGGTGGATATGTATGGATAATCATAGAGGACAAAAAAAGCGGTTTTAGTGTTTGAAGGAGATAGAGACAGTTTCGTGAAGCCCTGCTACCTCTACTTTTGTAATGCCAGTCTGCATTTTGGATTCCTATCTCTACATTTGGCTTCCATTCCTTCCCTCTTTGAACAGCTTACAGTTTTACTTATCCATAAAGTAAATTACCTTACTTAACGATCAGAATACATGTGAGGGTGGTATATTGTTGTTATCCCATTTTACAGATGAGGAAACAAGGCTCAGAGAGGTTCCATGACTTGGCCGAAGTCAAACAGCTATTAAGTGGTGGAGCCAGGACTCAAACCCATGTCTGTCTGACTCCCACCGAGAAGAGCTAGCTGCTTCTCTGCTCCCTTCCACTACCCCACCACCACCACCACCACCACCACCGCCAAGTCAAACTAACCCAACTCAAAACCAACACATCTGAGAGCTGGATTCACCTGGCCTTTTCTCTCAGTCTAGGAGCCATGTCCACCTTGTTTCCCTCCCTCTTCCCCCGTGTGACTGAAACTCTGTGGTTTAATCTGGATCGGCCTTGTGTGGAAGAGACAGAGCTGCAGCAGCAAGAACAGCAGCATCAAGCCTGGGTGAGTGAGCATCTAGCACAGCGGTGAGCCTCAGTCAGGGATTCCCCCCTTCACTGGTCATGATCCAGCCTTTCTCTAGAGACCTACCCTGGAGGAGCTTTTTGCTTTGAGCTGAGAAATAATCAGGCTGGGAGCTGGGTTCTCATCTTTTAATTAGGGTTATCCTAATTTTCCACAGGACCATGGGACCTCTGGGCCAGATTGGAGCCCAGGTTCTTCTCCAAAAAGCATAGGAAATAATAATTTTGACTATTTATTGAGGACCTAGCAGATGCCATGTTCTAGGCTGATAGTCTTTCACTTCACCCTCACCATAATCTTATGAGAAAACCAAGGCCCAGAGAGTTTATGTAATTGGATCAAGTCCATAACTCTTATGTAATTGGATCAAGTTGCAAATGACAGGAGAAAAAGGGATTGAATCTTCCTGAGAACTGGAAGCTTCTCCTTCACACTTGGAGGTGGGGGGGGGGGTGTCTTCTTGTGGGCAGAGTGGTTCAGTCCCATGCTCCTGACCTGCTTGGGCCCTGGCCCTGCTTTTTTGTGTCCCCTTTGGCCACAGCTCCAGAGCATCGCAGAGAAAGACAACAACCTGGTACCTATTGGCAAGCCGGCCTCAGAGGTGAGTGGGGCCCAGGTGGACTAAGGCTCTGCTCTAATTCTGAAGGTCCTGCCTCTGACTCCAGAGCAGTTGTGATCCTCAGCTCTGGATGGAGGCCAGAAATGGAGCTAGAGGGGGTGGGCTTTGGGCCCAGAACTAAGGTCCTACAGAACATGCACCAGCCTGCTAGACTCAAGCAGGGTTGGGGAGTAGGGGTCATTTGTTGACTCCAGAGAGAGGCTCCAAGTAGGCTAGCCCTTAAACTGGTCCAAGAAGGCTGTAGAGTCTACAGGCTCTCCCCTGCCTCACCAGCACTATGATGATGAGGAAGAGGAGGATGAAGACGATGATGAGGATAGTGAAGAGGACTCAGAGGATGATGAGGACATGCAGGACATGGACGAGATGAATGACTACAATGAGTCACCTGATGATGGAGAGGTCAATGAGGTAGGCAAGGGTGTGGGAAGGGCCTCTGCTCCTGGGCCCCTGCCCCTGACCTAATTGGTGGCCAAGGGGTACAGAAACCCTGGACCCAGCCAGGTGCAGGGTCTGGGACTGGGGCTGGCTGGGTGGCTGAGGCCCCTCCCCACCCACACCCAGCCTCCTCTCCAGGTGGACATGGAAGGCAACGAACAGGATCAGGACCAGTGGATGATCTAAGTAGACAAGGCAGGGTGGCCTCAGGGAGATTCCAGGCCAACCCAACCTACCCTGTGACTCCTGCAGAACCAGCTGATCACCCCAGTGCCTGAAAGTTCACCCTCAGGCACCTCCTCAACTGCTGCCAGGACCTGGTCTCCTTGGCCCCTCCCAGGCCATCAACCTGCCCTTGAATCCCCAGGACCTGAGTCCACCCCACCTTTCTGGCCAGTACCTCACCCTTTGAGGTGTAGTCTCTTTCTAACTCTCTTTAATAAAGACACAGGACTGATTCCTCCCTCCCCCCCATGTCTATTCCCTATTTTTTGGTGGGGCCCAGAGGGATCCAGCACCTTTTCTTGAACTTTTGGGAGAGGGCATTCAAGGGACTGCGGGCAAACCTACCTGGCCATGTGGGCCAGGGCTAGGGAAGGCCAGGGCCCAGATTGCACCAGCCTTTCCTGCAGGGCTTCTGACTCAGAGTTTACTGTTTCTTTCCATCACGTCCACAATGGCATTGGCTGGGGAGGGCAGGCTTTCTGAGGTCCAGAGCTGGGAAGCCTCTAGAGCTCTCCCAGCCAGTTTTGTTGGTGTTAAGAGAGCAGATTAAGTCTCAGCAGGGCAGGGACTCCCCTGAAGCCACCCAGCAAATCAGTGACAGAGCTGGGGTGGGAGCTCAGGCCTTTGCCTGTCAGTTCATGGCTTTTTCTGGAAGAAGGGGGATCAGTGGGACCGAGCAGTCTGACAGAACTTGATGCCTCAGGTGAGTGAGGCAGAGGTAGGAGGAGAGTCTCCCCAACCCCGAGCCAAGCATGTGTCAGGCCACAAGCAGGGAGGGGAAGGGATGTTCTGAGGTCCTTGCCTGGGTGGGGGTGAGGTGGGGCAGCAGTAAGTACCCCTAGACCTCAGCCAGGTCCTGCGTAGGTGAGCTGGGCTATGCCGTCCTTAATGGCAGGAAAGTCTGGGAGGCCAGTATGATGGATTCGGCAGCGATAGCGGCCACAGCTCTTGGCGTACTGCAGGAAGCGGGGTGCACCAGGGAAGAGCACATGATCAGCCAACACAGTGGCACCAGCTGGCAGCAGAGCATGAGCCTCCAGAAGCTGCAGGTCCCGCAGGTAACATCGGGGCCGGTGTGCCAGGAGTACCAAATCTGCCCGACTCAGCTGGTACTGGGTTCGTAGGCGCGGGATCACCTCCTCTGAGCTACCCACGATGAGCTCCACCTGTGGGGGTGGGAGGAGCTGGAGGTGAGGGTGGGACAAACCAGGGTTATCCCCCACCAGACCCCATCAGGATCTGACTTACTTTATGCCAGGCCCTGGTCTAGATCCCCACCAGTGTTCTTACATTTCCTCTGACCTCAGAACCCCAGAAGTCAGGATCAGTAGTGCGATTTGTTTTTCTTTTCTTTGTTTTTGTTTTGTTAATCCTCACTCAAGGTAATTTTTCCATTGATTTTTTAGAGAGAATGGAAAGGAGGGGGAGAGACAGAGAGAGAAACATTGATGTGAGAGAGACATATTGATTGGTTGCCTCCCACATGTGCCCCAACCAGGACTGGGAATAGAGCCTGGGACCCTTTGGTCTGTGGGCCAGTGCTCTATCCACTGAGCCAAACCAGCTAGGGCTAGTATTGTGATTTCAATTCAGCCAGTGAAGAAACTGAGATTCAGAGGATAAGTGCTTTGCCCAACGTCTCATACCTAATAAGAATCAAACTGAGGTTTGGGCCCAGATTTGCTGGACTCCAGAGACTTTCCTTTTAACTGCTTCCTTGTTACTCAGCAGTAAATATGTGCAAATGACTTGGAACAAGAGTTCACACAGCTTCCAGGATTACAGTTCCATAAGCGGAGCTGCTTCTTTCCCATAGGTGGGATTCCTCCACAGGGGAGGCCTGGCCAGGAGAAGGCAAAGGGTGGAGACCAGAGTTGGGGAGTTGGGGGCTGACCGTGCGCTCGTCGAAGCCAGCCAAGCGGATGAGCTTTTCAGCCACCACTGCTGTGCGTGGGTCCCGCTCTACAGTGAGAAGGCGACTCCCCGGGGGCAGGGCACGGGCAATAAGCAGTGTGGAGTATCCGCAGTAGGTACCCAGCTCCAGCACACAAGCAGGGGCCTTCTCTTCCACCAGCCGTATCAGGATCTGACCTAAGGAAAGAGATGGCTATTGCAGCAGACATGGGAGATGGATTGCAGGCCACAGAAAGAGATCTCAAATGCCCACCTGCAGCTCCCAACCAGCTGGAGTCTTATCTCTCTCAGACTAGTCTCAGCTGCCCCAGTGGTCCCCCTTCTCCTCCAGGCTCACCAGTCTTCACACCAGCCACTAGAAATCTTTCTAAAAAAATAAATCTGACACTATCACTCCCTGGTTCCTTGATCCTAAAGCCTTGGGAATTGAACTTGGGATCGTCAGCCTGACATTCAGGACCTTCTTGGAACTGATCCTATCTTACCTTTTCAGTTTCAGCTCTCAGTTATGCCTACCTGTAGCCTGTACCACAGCCATCCGAAACAACTGTGCCCAGGGTCAGCCATTCTGGCTCACTCCTTCCTGTCACATTTGTATATGTGGCTGGCTTTGCCCTTCCCCAACCCTATCCTCACCTGCCTGGTCAACTCGAAAGCAATCCTTCTCGGCTGTTAAACTGTTGCTTCCTCCAGGAATGTCCAGGCAGAAACAATCACAAGGCTTCTGAGAGACCATCTTCCAGTCTCTTGAAGGATCTTTGCTAGACTTCCAGTTTAATTTCCCCTTACTTGTTCATTGGATATCTTTCTAACCTTGGAATTGGACCACTTTCTTAAATAAGACTGAAAGACTTGTGCTGGGATCTGGGACTCACACAAATCCAGGCAGGAGCTGCCCTGAATGGGATGTGGGGGCCTCCGTAGTGGGAGAGAAAGACATTACAAAGTTATGGGTTATGTGCGGAGATGGTTATTCCCCTCTGTATTAAGCCCCCTTGAGGCCAGCATCTGTGGCTAATTCCCCCATGTGGCCTCTACTTTCTTCTCCCCCAGCACCCAGCACACGCCTGGTACAAAAGAGGTGGCAATAAATTTTTGCTGCATGAGTTAGCTTTGCCCAGCCCCCTCATTTCCAGAGGAGAAAAGAGAGACCCACAGAGAATCAAGAACCTGCCCAATTCACCCACTAAGGCAGTGGCAGGTCCCAGCGCTCCCTTCACTATCTTGGGGTGCTGCTTCCTGGAGCAGAATGCAGGGAACACTGACCTTTGGCAGGCCCCATGTGGCTCAGGTACTCGCAGTGACTGCTCCAGTGATCCAGGGTGGTGAGGATTTGACTAGGGTCCCCCGGCAGGGCATGGGTGAGCACATAGCTGAAGGCCCGTTCCTCAATCCGCAGCCCTGACAGGTAGTCTCGGAGGCTCCGCAGCAAGACCGTGTGCACCAGAAGTCGGAAATGGTGCCGGTACCGCACCAGCAATGTCACCACCAGTGGCAGGAAGGCCAGTGCAATGGCAGGAGACATGGTCCCTACCTGGTCCTGGTAGGGGTCCTGGGGTGGAGGGAGACAGTGAGGGAAACCCACACCTGACATTTGCCTGTCATTAGTGCAATCCTTAGCAGAAATAATTACCCCTACATTTTACAAACTGTGGCTCATAAAGGCTAAGTCTTTTGTCCAGAGTCACACAGCAGGACTAGGATTTGAATCTGAGTTGGTCTGATCCCAAGCCCTGTACTTTCAAGGACTCCATGCTAAATTCAGAACCCAACCCCAAAATACCTCTCCCCACTTCTGGCTCCTGGTCCCACCTCCACCTTGTTCCCTCCACCCATTTCTCTTCATCTCTGTTGTCACCATTCTTCAGGACCCCTTTCACCAGTTCCCTTCTGACATATCCCCCCGCCCCTACCCCTGCCTGCCTGGTCTCCTCTGACCCATTACTGTGTAGCAAAAAAGCACAGCTTTACTTCAGAAACCTCTTCACTGTCATTGCTTTGCCTCAGTAAAAGGCAATCAAAACACTTACTCCACAGGGTGTTAGGATAAGATGTCCTTCCCCCCCAGGATTTTCCTTTTGTGCTTCCCCAGGGGTGAGAAGAGTCCTTGATTCTATATTTCTTTTTCAGTCCTATCCCCTTTCCCCTGCACTCCCCTCTTCTCTCCCTCAGAATTCCCTTCACATGTGCATACACAGAGCACACACTTTCTCCTCACTCAGCCCTCTTCCCCCCAGCCGGCTATGAGGGATGTTTCCTGTTTTCTTCCATGCCCCTTTGAGGCCACTGGTAGTGATAGAAACTGAAAGTAGGAATGTATGAATGGGTGTGAATAGGTGAGTGATGGCAAATTTGAACCAGTGTGCTTGGGAACCCACACTCAAGGGCCCTGCTTACCTGGGCTGGAGGCTCCTGCTTGAGGAAGATCGGAGCATAGGACAGGAGGGGGCAGTCCTTGGAGGGTAGGGGTAGAATCCTGAGGCAGGCTGGACTTGCTCTCAATTATTGATGCTGAGGCTGCTGGTGTCACCTGAAACCTGCAGTTCAAGTTACTAACCCCAGGGGCAAGCTGGAACTGCCTCCTACCCTTCAGGAGCCCTCAGAACTTATAAAAACTCCACAGTCTTGATTTGAGGGGCAAAAGAGCTATAGGACTTGGTAGCCTCTCCTACAATCCCTTGGATCAGCACATGGGATATGATGTGAGCCACGTGATAGGGAGGTTGTAATTTATTCATTAATTCCAAATTTGAGTTTTCTCTAAATAAGTGCTAGGGAGTGGGTCACAGAAGAGTCAGATCTTGTTCCTGTTCTCCAAGAACTCCATGTTTTTTGTGGGTGTTTTGTTTTGTTGTTTTTTTTGGGAACTCCATATTTGGTAGAAGAAACTGGTGCAGGGACAGTGAATACAATATAATGCGATCATTAGAATGGATGCTCCATGAATACAAGGACTCTTGGCTCTTTTGTGAACTGCTACATATTCAGATACAACAGTATGTGACATATTGCAAATATTCAGTAAATATTTGATTCAATACAGGAATGAATTAATGCAGAATAGGGATTAAGCACAGGAGATGTCTAGAGAATGAAGTCAGAGAAGGGAATCAGGAGGGTATTGTTGAATCTTGAACACAGTAGGCAGACCTACTGGGGAGACAGTGTGCCTGGATACACATGCAAAGTCCAGGAGGTCAGTCAGGAAAGTGCTATGCCTGGTGAGGCAAACCCCTGCACCACCACCCACTGGGCCTGGAGTGGCAAGTAGGTGTTAGTTAGAATCTGCAAGATCTTGAATGACAGACTTGGACCTGTTTTCAGGGTCCTAGAGAAGACATGGGATGGTTCTAAAAAAGCAATGATGGTGAGCTTTGTGTGTTAAGATAGTAGAGGTGCCATAAAATGGCAGGGTTGAAGATAAGTGCTTAAGAGCAAAGAGATCAGTAAGGTGGCCTCTATCTCCACTACTAGGATTAAGCTCCATTCCGCTTCCTCTTGTGAAGGTGTACGGTTCCTTCTTCCATTAAGTGGCAGATCCTCAATCCAGGCTGAGAACTACGTTGGTCGTCACACCCGCTGTGTCCCCCAACTTGCCGCTGAGCAACTGGGGCCTACGTGTGGCATTTAGGAGACCACATCATGATGACACTTGGTATGAGCTCGCTCACTGGCCCACAAAGGTAGACTGGAGGCCACACGACCACTGAGACCCCGTATTGCTTGCAGGGGGGAACGAGCTCAGAGACTGAGAAGAGGCTGAAGTCATGTGATAAGCCCCCCGCCTTTCCTCCCATCACGTGTCTCGCGTCTTGTCACGCAGGGTACGCCTTCCCATTGGTTGGAAACGGTCACGCGGTGGGGGCGGGACCGGAAGCCGGGGTTTCAGGGACGCCCGGTAGCGAAGCGGCTCTGGGAAGGGATAGTCCTGCAGGCGGGTGGTTGCTTGCTCATTGCAGCCACAGGTCATGTGACCGGAAGGGCCCCTTACGGACGCCGTCCCTCCTCCTGGCGGCCTGAGCGCCCGGCCCGACCCCGGCCATGGGGTGCTGCTACAGCAGCGAAAACGAGGACTCGGACCAGGTGCGGCCGCGGCGGGCGGGGCTCGGGAATGAGGGCTGAAACCCTGGGGCATGGGGCTCAGAAACAAACCTGCTGGAGAGGGGAGCTGGTCGGCGAGGGTCACCGAGTACGGAGGCCCGGAGGGGACATATTACAGAGGAGCCGCCGGGCTGGCCTCTTCTGTTAAAGCCCCAGTTCTCTGTACAGTCACCGCGTTGGGGCGTGCAGTGGGGTGTGCTGGCAGCCGCCTATCTCACCTGCTCTCCCACCCTTTCACCTCCCCTACTTTCAGACCTTTACAGCTTCAAGGATCCTTAGCCGAGGTCCCTGGGAAGCACTCCCTTCCCCCCTCCCTGTGCTCGCATTAGGGGCTTTGTGAATCCGTTTTAGAGGTGGGGAAGCTGAGGCTCAGAGTTAGTTTGTCCCGAGATAAATCAGGAATCTGTGTATTCTCTCAGACCCTGGGGTTGGAGAATGCAGCTCACTGATGGTCTGGGGTCAGAGCAGGCCTCTGGAAGGTGGTGGCATTTGAGTTAGTGAAGGGTTTAATAGGCACAACGAGGACGTCAGGATGTGTGGAAAATTATTTGGGAAGTAACGTCGGGTTTAGCTTGGCCGGATTGGGCCGGCGCGGGGTGGGTGGTGGTATGGGACGGGGAACTCAGTTTTGACAGTTCCAGTGCACTCCCTACCTGGGCCTGAGGGTTCCTCTAGCTAGAGGGGTTCTTGCCCTGGGAATTTGGCTGTAGATCACATCCCTTTGCAAGAAGATTTAGCTTGGGGAAACCTTACAGTTTTAAATTCTCCCTCTTCGTGCATTTTCACACCACACTTTTAAAAAAATATATGCTCTTATTGATTTTTTTTTTTTTTAGAGAGAGAGAGAGAAACATTGATTGGCTGCTTCCTGCACGCTCCCTACTGGGGATCGAGCCTGCAACGCGGACATGTGCCCTGACCGGGAATCAAACCAGCGACCTTAGTGCATGGGTCACTCTATGCTCAACCACTGAGCCACTGGCTGGGCTCACACCACACTAATTCTGGTCCTTCCCACCAGACCTCCCTTCCAAGGATGAAGTCTTAAGCTGTTGGCCCCTCACCTTTTTGATTGCCTCTGCCTGGGTTCCACATTTCAACACATACTAGACACAAAGACAGTAGAAAGGTTTTAACAATTAGCCCACTGTCTGGTTGGGTCGATGGTGACAGAAATGGATTATGTCACTGGTATTTGGGAGAAGGTGTTTCCCCAGTGACTCACATGAACCTCTTTTGGGTTAAGGATTTAGGCTTGGGAAAATGTCCTTTGTATGAGAGGCATGGGTGGCTAAACACAATGAACACATAATCACATTTCCTTTGTCTTATGTTAGGCATGCCTCAGCCAGTACCTTTCACTTCACCCCAGCCTGTTACAGGGACAGTATCCCTGGCTACTGAGGAAAGCTGTGGCTTATGGGCAGTTGTCTCCTAAAACATAATATGGTCTCTTTCTGACAATGAGTCAAGAAGGGTTAATGCCTGCCTTATGAGAAAGGATATACCAGCTTCTAGCTGAAGAGTTGGGCTTGTTGCTCTCCTCGGTTTCCACCTTGCCCTTGATTGGCTCTCATTTCTGTTTCTAACCACCAAAGACGGTGTTTGATCAGTGCTAGGTGATTTGAGGCCTCATATGGCAAAAGTCTAATTACCTGGTCTATAAGCTATTATCATTCACTATCAAAAATATCCCTCTTTGAGCTCTGGGGCTGGCTCCTCTTCCCCTCTCATCACTGCCCCGTTATTATAATAATAAAAAGAAATGCACAACATATTACAGTTTTCAAAGCCCTTTTACAGTTACCTCACTTGACTTTTGCCAGACATTTGTCATAAGGTACCAGTTATGTCTATTAAAAGCCTGCCCTGGCAGGTAGCTCAGTTGGTTAGAAGGTTATCCCAATACACCAAGGTTGTGGGTTTGATCCCTGGTCAGGGCACATACAAGAAACAACCAATGAATGCATAAATAAGTGGATCAAATAAAAGTCTCTCTCCTCTAAAATCAATAAACAAAAATTAAAGAAAAACAAGGAAAAAGTTCAGAGAGGCGACTTAGCAAAGGTTACAAAGCTGAGAAGTGCCATAGCCAAGGTATTTTGATGCCAAGCCACGTGCTCTATCCATTGGGTCAAGCTGTCTCTTCTAGATGGCTGGTCATGGGCAGACCACATTGGTGTCTGTGCTAGGGTAGGCAGTGAAACTGACTCCTGGGTTGACACTGACTCAGGAACAAAATTCGGTGGGAAAAACCTCCCCTGTGCTTCCTTTGCCCTTTGTGTGTGAGGCAATGTTATGTGTCCACTCTAGTGGGTAGTATGGCTTCTGGGAGGCTAGGTCTCAGGAACCCCCGGGGAGAAACTACCCTGTCCTGCAAGAAGGTCTGTCTGAAGTGGGGCTGGAGGAAGGATGGGCACAGGAAACAAACGCAGGCTTCATGATGGAACCAGCTTTCCTGAGAGATAGTTTAATCTTTGGCAAGTATTTTGTCTTTCTAGCACTTCAGTACTTAGCCTGTCCTTTAGGAATGGAAGTGTCTAGGAGTTGGGAGGTAATGGGGCAGAAGCTCACAGCTTCTGTCTCATGCTGCTAGGAACTGTGAACACTTGGGCAACCTAGGATTGCACAGGAAGAGTCTTGTGACAAGACTGGGCCTGCTTAGGGTGGGGCGGGCAGGGCAGGAGGAAGTGGCCCTCTGCAAGGAGAGTTGGGCAGAGAAGTTGGGAGCCTGCAGTGGGGAAGTCAGTGGTAGGAACTGAGATAGGCCTGGAGTGGAGCACTCGGGGGTCTAGTGGTCTGGCACTATCAGTTGGTGAGTCAGCATTAGCCAGGATAGGCCCCTTGTCCTTGATTTTGTCCTGAGCGCCTTCACTCTTTGTGGCTTGGATAGATCCCCAGCAGGTCTGCTTATCCATTTTGCAGCTGACACAAAGCCAGCAGGGATTTGCAGCTGATGGGCTCAAGGCAGGGTTGTATCCAGAAAGATTAGAACAAGGAACTAAACTGGGCTATAAACATTTGTGTGCCTCTTTTCTCAGTGCACACAGCAAATTTTCTAAAAAATTTGAATGTTCGTGCTCTAAAAAGCAAAATTATTCAAATGAATATTAACAACCTAAAGCATCGACGTATTGGTTGCTTCTCAAAAGATGAAAAACATACTTGTATCGCTTTCCATTGGAAAATATGTCGTTGATCATCACAAAGAAAAAGAGACTACAGGAAAATTAACAAAGAATAAGAACATAAAATTTCTACCCATAATGCCTGGCAATGCTAGATGAGGTAGTTTCTGGCACAAAGAGACATACAGAATTATACATGACCAGGGAGACTTTGCCCCAGGTCAGTTCTGGGGGTTGTGATCATCAGTGTAGGCTAGTAGTGACAGGGCTGCTGAACGTTAATGAAGCCACACTAATAGAGGTGGCGCCTTAGCAAGGGAGGGAACAGCTCCACTGTTCAGTTCAGGTCAGCATCTCCAGGTGCATGAAGTTTGGTTCTGGGAGTCCCATATAAAGAGAGCAGAAGAGGGTGAACACCTGAGAGAATAAGGGACCTGCCCTCAAGAAGAAAGCACACTTAGCCTGTGTGACCCAGAGGCTGAGGGTGGAGCTCCTGCCCTGAAATAATATGAGGAATGGGCATTGAGAGCTTGAGTGTGTTTTCTCTTTGAGCTTAGGGCCATGTCTGGCCTCACAGGGCCTCTGTATCCTGGGAACAGACAGCTTTTGCTAGGGAGGGCCTGGTTTGGGGAATCAGGAGGGTCATTGGGCTCCTGGCTTGCATCAGTTTCCCCTGTGGGCCCCACTGTTTTCTACCTCTTCTGGCTTCCAGCCTCCAGTATTCTGTCTCCATAAGTTGCTGGACTATTTTCTAAAGCTCCAGGGCTGTGCCTCTGTCCATCTTTTCAGAGCACCTGTGACTGTTTGGGTCCACTTTACCCTGCACCACCGAGCTGAGCTTCCAAGGGCAAGCAGGAACTGAGTCTTATCTGACATATAGTGGGGCACTGGGATATTCCTAAAAAAAAACATTTTTGGTGCTTAAACACTTAAATGTCAGAGTTGGGCTGAGAGGGGAACCCAGGAAAGGCAGGTTGGACTAAGGGCTCCGGGGCTGATTTCTCCCTGATGATCTCCCCTAGGACCGAGAGGAGCGGAAGCTGCTGCTGGACCCTAGCAGCCCCCCCACCAAAGCCCTCAATGGAGCCGAGCCAAATTACCACAGCCTGCCTTCCGCTCGCACAGATGAGCAGGCCCTGCTCTCCTCCATTCTTGCCAAGACAGCCAGGTGAGCATCACAGAACCAGGCCTGGGGCAGAGCTCCTCTATCTGTGTTAAAGGCTGGGATAGAGAGAGCTGGGCCAGGACATGGGGGAAGGAACAGGGTCAGTGGGAGAGGCGCCTCTGGGCCCAGCCCTGCTCCAGTAGGCAGTGGGGGCGCTGGTGTCAGATAGTCCTGGAGTTAGCACCTGGAAGGGAATCTTTTTCGTCCCTCTTGGATGTACCTGTCATGTCCTCTCTATTTCTCTTCTCCCCAAAGCAACATCATTGACGTGTCTGCTGCAGACTCCCAGGGCATGGAGCAGCATGAGTACATGGACCGGGCAAGGCAGTACAGGTGAGCACCTGGCCAGCTTGGATTCCTCCCTTCCCCTCCATCCCTGATCCAGCTTTGCAGCCTGGGCCCCAGTCCAGCCTCTTCGTTTGGGTACAGCCCAAGAAACTGACCACAAACCTCTTGGGTGCCTTCACGTCAGCGCTATTTGTCCTGTGACACTCAAGGATGCAGAGGGCGAAGGGAGGTGGGCCTGGAGTGAATTTGTGGTCAGCTGAGGCCTTGTCACCTGCTTCTCTGGTCTGAGGGAGGCTCACCGGGCTGAGCTTGGCAGGGCAGGACAGATGGTAAACTGATTGCCCATCCCACCCCTCCCTATCGGACAGCACCCGCTTGGCTGTGCTGAGCAGCAGCCTGACCCATTGGAAGAAGCTGCCGCCACTGCCATCTCTCACCAGTCAGCCCCACCAAGTGCTGGCCAGCGAACCCATCCCCTTCTCCGACCTGCAGCAGGTGAGCTACCCTTGCCCCACTCCTGCCTACTCACTCCCACTGCCCAAGTTGTGGCAGAGGGTTCACCCTTTGCCTTATAGGAGGTGGGGAACTGGAGTTAACCTGGTAGCCTGTGGGCCCTGCTCACTCCCACCTTTCTCTTTGGCTTCCTATCCCCCATCATTCCCTCCTCTCTGGCCATCTGATCCTCCTCCCCCAGTTTCTGGATCTCCCTTTTCACCTTTCTCTCTCTGTTCTTCTCCTCCCTGGTCCCTCTATCACAGGTCTCCAGAATAGCTGCTTATGCCTACAGTGCACTTTCTCAGATTCGTGTGGATGCAAGAGAGGAGCTGGTTGTACAGTTTGGGATCCCATGAAGACAGTGGTCCTTGGACAGCTCTTCTTCTCCTCTCTTCACCCCGCCTCCCCTGGCCCCAGCCTCACTATGGCTTATACAGTACCCTGACCTGCTACTAATCACAGAGAAGAATGTGGAGGAGGAGAAGAAGAGCGAGGCTACAAGCCTGGACAAGTGAGGATGGAGCAAGAGAGGATAGAACCATTTGGGACTGGCCTTCGAAGCCCTGGCCAGCGGTGGGGTGGAGGTCAAAAGGACAGGGCCTGGTAGGTCTTCACTGTCACTGGGAAGGGGTGGAGGTAACACTGTGAGGGTGATCACTAGGGGGCCTGTGAAGGCCCCTTTCCCACTCTTTCTCTTGGCCTCACTCTTTGCCCCTCTCCCTGACTTGGTGCTCACAGGCACCTCACTAGGGTTTGTGACCAGTGTCTGGACGAGATTGAATTTGAATGAATTGAGTTTGTATTTCTAGCACCCTGGGTTTTTACATGTTTGGGGTTTTGGTGTTTTTTGGGGGGGGAGGGGGGCGTGTTATCTCCCTTGATAAAGGAAATGTATTCATCTGTGTGCTGATTTCAGCCCCTCTGTCCTGCCCAGCACCCTACTGCTTACTTCTGGCTACTTAAGTCTATGAGCAGTGAAAACGGATGATGGGGAGGGGGACATCTTTTAGGGGCATTAAGAGGAGTCCAAGATATGAGTTCAAGGTTCCCAGGTCTTATCTGAGACTTGGCCTTGGCTAACCTCATATTGGATAAGATTGCTTGTCATTTCTCCAGTGATAGGAACACAGGCAGCTGTCATTGCCGAGGACCCTGCTGCAGACTCAGTGAAATTACTGAAAAGCCTGGGAAGGGATTGGTGGTGATGGTGCAGACAGATCAGGAGTACCTGACTTGGAGTCAGCAAACCAGTTTTCAAGCAGGAGATTCTTTTTTCTTTTTTTAAAAAATATATTTTATTGATTTTTTTAGAGAGGAAGGGAGAGGGGTAGAGAGTTAGAAACATCGATGAGAGAGAAACATTGATCAGCTGCCTCCTGCACACCTCCTACTGGGGATTTGCCCACAACCAAGGTACATGCCCTTGACCGGAATCGAACCTGGGACCTTTCAGTCCGAAGGCCAACGCTCTATCCACTGAGCCAAACCGGTTAGGGCTCTTTTTTCTTTTTTAATCCTCACCCAAGGATATTTTTTCCATTGATTTCCACAGAGAGTGGGTGGGAGGTTGGGGGAGAGAATGAGAAACATCGAGATGAGAGACACATCAATTGGTTGCCTCCCGCATGCGCCCCTACCAGGGCTGGGGAACCTGCAACTGAAGTACGTGTCCTTAACCGGGAATCAAACCCATGATCCTTTAGTTCGTGGGCCAACACTGTAATCATTGAGAAAACTGGCTAGGGCAGAAGTTCTTTTTTTTAATCAGATGACATCTTAAGCACAATCCCAACATAAACAACATGAGAGTAACTACTCTGGTTGGATGGAAATGGGGCATTCAGCATTCACGGCCTATCATCTTGACTTTTTATCACCGAGGCCTCTGAGGCATCTCCACAGAACCCTGGTGCTCTGTGAAGCAACTCTAATCCCAGGATATCTGATCTGAAGAGTGACAAAAGGACCCAGAGTTGAGATTAGTTCCCCAAGGCCATGCAGTGAACCCAGGTCTCCTGTGTCTCAGGCCAACAGGCCTTTCCCTCCCCTGCCTACCTTTCAGTGAAGCAAGACTAGAACCAGTGGCAACTGCCTGAGTTGGGGGGCAATTTTACACAGCACAAGTGACTTCTAATCTGCTGAACAGCTCAAATCCTTTATTGTATTGTCAAACCAACACTGGCTGTCCTCAGGCCTTCAGGATGGCTGCAGTCCTGGGAACCTCAGAGTGCATCCTGCTTGATCCGGACTTTCTTGGGCTTGATGTTCATTCGTTTCCACACTTCAGCTGCTGTGCGGTCTGCTTTGGTGACCCCACTGAAGTCGAACGTTGTGATACGAGGCAAGGTGCACAGCACATACTGCCTGTGGGGAAGACTCGGGCTGGGGGCCAGCCCCCCCACCAGCACCCCATTTTCCCCCACCAGCTGCTGCTGTCTCCCCTGATTGCAGGAATGGAGGGACTTGAGTATAGTTTGGGGGAGACTGAGTTTTCCTGACAGCAGGAAATGCCTAAAGGTCTCTACTTTTCCTTGTCTCCCCTCCTTTCCCTTGGGGAAGCCTAGCTCCAGGGCAGGGCACTTACCTATACCCCTTCTCTTCCTCCATGGGGTTCCCGTGGAGTGTGAGGCTCCGGAGCCGAGGGAGGGTGGCCAGCTTATTCACCTCTCCGAGACGCTGGATGCTGTTGCCATGGAGGTAGAGGACACTCAGGTTGAACAAAGTGGTCAGGACCTGTTGGGGAAGAAACCGAAAGCAGGCTAGACAGGTCTCTAGAGCTGTGCTCAGGACTGACTTGAGGGTGAGTAGAGTTTGGGGAACAACTTGCTCTCCACTGCACCACCCCTCATCCCCAGCCGTACTTTCATTCACCTTTGAAGAGGTATAGGGCATCCCACCCAACCAGAGCTGTGATCTTAAAGGTGGGAAGTATGGGCCTGGGTCCTAGCACTGTCACTAACTTGCCAGGTGACTGGACCCGCCTGCTTCTGCCTGAGCCTTAGTTGCCCTTTCACTGAAGACCTTTGGTGATTTGAATCTCAAAACAAGGGACAGGGATACAGAGCATTGTGCTAGGTACATAAGAGAAGCTTTTTAGTGAAATTGAGATCACTATACCTGGGGAACAGTTTCTAAGTTGTGCTCTAGCTCCTTACCCCCAATGGATCCTGGACAAGACAGGACCAGTTTTATTTATTTCTTAAAACTTGAGTCAGTGCATGGAAAAAGTGCTGTACTTTTACTATCTACCTCTTCCACAGAAGAACTTTGCACAAGGCACAGTGGGTGCCCAATAACAAGAGCTTCTATTTTATTTCAGCTTTCTATCTGCCAGTTGGTTTTCATACATTCTTATTTAATTCTCACAAAATATTTATGATGGTATATTATCCCCATTTTTCAGAAAGGGAAGCTGAGGTTTTGGAGAGGTTAGGAAGGTTGTCCAAAATCTAGGATTTGAACCTACATCTGAGCCAACAGCTGTGTGCTTTAGACACAGTACCATGATGCCTCACAAATTCCTTGATGAAATGTGGGAGGTGGAAAGGCTGGGGGCTGGACAGGGTAGCTTCTGGCCCAACCTGACTGGACTCTCAGGACTGGGAACTCACAGGGTCAATGGAAGGCAGGTCGTTGAAAGACAGGTCAATCCAGGCCAGGTTCTCTGGATGCTGCAGCAGCTGTGAAATTACATGGTTGAAGCCTCTCAGCTCACTGAGAACATTGTTGTTCAGCCACAGGGACTGCGTCAGTGACTTCCCTGACTTCGAGTGCTTTAGTGGTCGCTGCCCTTTCCTTGGCTCCTCGCTCATCAGATCTGTGGGAACAGAGTGAAGTCTGCATATATCATCTTTGCCTTTCTGGTTCTGGGGGATGAGAGCTGAGAGAATAAGCAGCGTGAGCTAACTGGAGGGCCATAGACTGACTAGTGCATCTACTCACTGTCAGCTCAAGACCCCCATCTCTCAGGCCCCAGAAACCAGTAAGCTTGAACTAAGGGCCAAAGACTTCCTATCCCAAACTCGATTTGGGTCACATGCTCCTCATATCTATTTTACTATTGGGTCCCCTGTGTATATGTATTGGGGGGAGAGGGATAAAACCACTCCTCTATTTTATAATGAGGAAAATAAAAACCAGAGTTGTTGGTACAAAATCCACAATTATCCACTGGTAGAGCCTACAGAATTCACTTCAGTGTAACACACCCTGATTTGCTCTCTCCCCCTAATATTAAACAACTACTGTGTGCCAGCTACTGGATATACAATGGAGAACAATATGAGAGACAGTCTGCGCTATGGTCTGTGTGAGTAATAGGGCAGGGATGAAGCAGATGTTTATGTCTTAGAGGAGCTCAAATGGGCAAGATGGAAACCAACTGGCAATGTATTGTGATAAATGCTGTTTAAGTTGTTGAAGGAGAGGGGGCTCTTAACTTAGTCTGGAGCTCATGAAAGTTTCCCAGGGAAGGTGAAACCTGAGCTGGATCTCAGTGGATTAGGAGAAGGGTGGAAAGGGTGAGAAGAACATGGGCAAAGGCACAGAGGTATGGAACAGCATGGGCACACATGTATGTGCTGCACAGGGGTCAAGGAGGAAAAAGGAGACAAGGAACCTCTAATGCCAGGCTGAAAATTTGGACTTTACTGTAGGTGATGGGAAGCTACTGGAGGTTATGGAGCAAAGGAGATAAATCTTTCATATAAGAAAGATCACTCTGAAGCTTTAGTACAGAGTCTGGATTTTAGGGAGTGGGTGGGACTAGACCAATTTGGCTCTTTCAATCATCCAAGCAAGAGATGAAGGTCAGTCAGAGTGACTTGATGGTTGATGTAACTGATACGGAATTAAGAAAAGGAGAAACATGGTTGGGCAGGTAATGAGGTTAGACTTGACCTTGGTGTTTCTGAGGTTCCTTAAGTATAAAAAGGTGGAGAAGCCAAGTAGGCAGTTGGATATGAAGGTCAGACACAAAGACTTGAGAATAATTAGCACAGAGAGTGAGCAAGTTAGAGAAATGGACGAGTTCTCAGGGATAGTAAAAGTAGAGAGGAGGCACACGGAGGAAGGGGAGTCCATTTAAGAAGTTACTGAGCCCAGCCCATGTGGCTCAGTAGATTGAGTGTTGTCCTGTGCACCAAGAGGTTGCTGGTTCAATTCCTGGTCAGAGCACATGCCTGGGTTGTGGGCTCAATCCCCAGTGGGAGGCATGAAAGAGGCAGCCGATTGGTGATTCTCTCTCATCAATGTTTCTCCCCCTCTCCTTTAAGCCTCTCTAAAAATCAATGAAAACATTTTTTAAAACACTATTTTTAAAAAAAAAAGGTACCAAATAATCAGGAAAGGACAGGGCAAGCCAGGAGAGGTTAGTTTTATAAGGGAATCCATATTTATAGGAGTGAGTTTTAGGGAAATGAGGAATGAAAAGTAATTTTGGTAACAAAATTTGAAGTCCCTGGTGACTTTGATGAGGGCTGTTTCAATGAAATGGCAAGGGCCTGGGGACAGAAGCTAGATTGGAGTGAGTTCAAGAGGTAAGGCAATATAAGCAGGTAGTGTAAACAATACCTTCAGAAAGTTTAGGTGAGGAGAATAGAGTGATGTTAGAACCCATCTGTATGGACACCCCTGTAACCGTCCCCCGCCTCCCGTTCTGTTTTTGTTTTTTGAAAAATGAGGTCCAGAGAGAGGATGTGCTTTGCCCAAGCTTACAGACACCAGAATCAGACACCAGCTCTGGCTGAGGTGACCATAGTTTTCCTATGGCCCCTATACCTTTGGTTACTTGTCTAAAACTGCCTCTGGCCCTAGCCGGTTTGGCTCAGTGGATAGAGCGTCGGCATGAGGGCCAAAGGGTCCCAGGTCTGATTCCAGTCAAGGCACATACCTTGGTTGCAGGCTCCTCTCCAGCCTGGGCCCTGGCTAGGGCTCCTACAGGAGGCAACCAATGGATATGGTTCTCTCACATCAGTATTTCTCTCTGTCTTTCCCTCTCTCTTCCACTTTCTCTAAAAATCAGTGGAAAAATATCCTCGGGTGAGGATTAAAAAATAAAATAAAACTGCCTCTAGGGAAGGAAATATTTAGTATTTGTTGAATTGGGCAAGTTTGTCTTCACCTTTCCCTCAGCTCTTTTTGGGCAAACTTCCTCTCTTCCACCCCAGCCAACATTAACTTCCTCTCCTCAGCTGCATGTCAGGCAGCATCCACCAGATGGCTCTCTGTCTTAATCCTAGAGTGAGCAGAACTCCCAGGTGGAGTGTGAGATTGGAGTAAGGTGGCAGAAATGTACTGGAGCACCCCAGTTTGTGAAAAAACTCCTAATCCTGCCTCCCAACCTCACATCTCCTGACTGCAAGCCCTGGAATGAAATTACAAAGATGTCAAAATAAGCCTACATATGGCCTAGCCAGCGTGGCTCAGTGGTTAAGCTTTGACCCATAAAACAAGAGGTCACTAGTTCAATCCCAGTCAGGGCACATGTCCCTGTTGCAGGCTCAATCTTCAATAGGGAGTGTGCAGGAGGCAGCTGATTGATGTTTCTCATCAATGTTTCTATCTCTATCCCTCTCCCTCTCTCTCTAAATTTAATAAAAACATATTTTTTAAAAGCCCACATACCCTGGATGGCGTGGCTCAGGGGTTGAGCATTGACCTATGAACCAGGAGACTGCCAGTTCAATTCCTGGTCAAGGCACATGCCCAGTTGTGGGCTCAATCCCCAGTAGGGGACATGCAGGAGGCAGCTGATCAATGATTCTCATCACTGGTGTTTCTATCTCCCTCTCCCCTCTCTGAAATCAATAAAAACATTTAAAGAAATAAAAAGCCCACATATGGACTAGCATCCAATGATGCATCCAGTGTGATAAGGCAGCAGCTTAGGGAATGCCATCAAGTCTGAGCTGACCCCAAGCTCAGAGGAGCCACTGGTGGAATGGCATTGCCTAAAATTTGAGGCTGCCTGGGGCTGCTGTTATCAAGGGTAAAGCAAGGTGTCTAGACCGCAACAGTTACTGCTCCCCTCAGTCTCCATCAGGGTACTGTATCACCTGAGGATCGGCCTTTCAGATTAGGCAAAGGCAGGTCTGGAAACTGGACCACAAATATCAACACTCAGAGAACTGGAGGTTGTCTAGCTACAGGAAAATCTGGAGAGAAAGTGATTCTGTCTTCACCTCTCTGAAAAGTTGCAATGCAACTTTTCCACGTGTCCCCAGAAGTCAGGAGTTAGTTTGATATGAAGAACTTCCTTGTGTCATTTCTCATCCCATAATGGAAGGGATGGGTAGGTGCATGTGGTAAGGGACTCCCTAAACACTAGGTGAGCAGCAGTTATAGGACTATGGGTTGGAGGCAGTACAGATCGGATGCCTTCTAAAGTCACTACCATTTCAGATTCTATGATCTATCAGTTGATTAATTACCAAATAGCATACCAGGTACCCCTAAACTCTACCCTGTCCTCTAACCCCAATTTTAAGTAAGCGTTCCATAGTTCTGGGAAACCTGAGGGGACTGGCCTTTTGGGGCTTAGATGTGCCTCTCTCTTTCCCTTTCTAATATTCATCAAGGAGCACTATGCCTGGCATATATGTATACACACATATACATACATACATACATACATACATACAGATATATGCGCTTAATAAAATAGGTGCTTAACAAATATTTAACTGTTGAATGAAGAACAGGGGATCTGTACTAATTATGTTTTGTGCTGTGGAGTTATCCTTGGTTGTAGTAGCTTATCTCTACCCTCATTCTGAGGACTCCATAAAGGGTAAACTGTATCTCCCTGCTCAGAGCTGGGAATTCCCAGGGTACGTGGGAGCCACACTTCCCTTCCTTCTCTGTCACTATGGCTATATTGCATGTAGCCATCACTGTAGCTAAAACCCTTGTGAAACCTGGACTACATCAAGCAGAAGTGATAACCATGCATAAAAAATAAAGATCACGATAGGTGGGTGTGTGCTCACTGAAGAACAAATATGAGTTACTATTGTGGCTGATGCCAACCCCTGCAGTATGCTAAATCCAAACCCAAGTAGTATCCAGTACCCTGGATAACTGTTTGCATTTCCTGAACTTAAAAGTGGCCACCAGTTGCCTAAGAAAGAGGACCAACGCTAGATAATGGGTGTAGGATATATTGATGCCAACCTGTGTTCTGTGAGGGCAGATATACTGGAGCATTTATGAGACCAGATAACAAAAGCAAAGGACAGCAGAACTTCTCTAGGAAGAAGCATATTCCCTTGAAAATATATTACTTGAGAGCCCTGCTGTGTCCCCTTCTGAGAGGTACTAGCTGCCCATTTGCAAAGACATTGAATGGGAACTAGTGTGGGCAGTGCTGGAACCTGCAATAAGTGTGGGTGATGATGGAATAAACTTAGATATGACTGGAATGAATATAAAATGTCAGTAAGTATTATACTGGAAACATGCCAGTTTGTTAATAACAAGACCCCCCCATGTTTTACCAGTGATCAGAACAGGCTTGTGTCCTGACTGAGGAGATAGGACTCTGCTACAGGCTGTTTTCCTTCCATTAGTTTCTTCCTCTCCAGGTAAAAACAGAATAAAACTATTGGCCGACACACTGGCTTTCCAGCTTTCTTCCACCCGACTTTCTTCTTGTAGTCTGTCTTTTGAAGATCATCAATTACCCTGAGAGAGCCCCCTGGTTCCTTTCAGAGGTTCTGCTAATTTTTTAAAAGGCCAAACACTTCCACTCCCACCTCCCTCTCTTCTACTCCTCCCAGAAAGGACAACAACAAAATCTGCAAGTATATGGGAAGAATCTCTTCAGGCTTTTAAGTAGAAGACTGATTTCTCCCTAGGGATCACACCCAGCTGCTGCCATGGTGAGTGGAGTGCTGTTCTCTGCGGGCTGACCTTGAATCACCTGGATGTTTCGGAAGGAGTAGTCAAGAGGGGGCTCTTGCACCGAAGTGTTCATGTAGTCCTGTGTGCTCATAGCTCAGGCCATAATTTGTCCGGTGTAAGCATGGGCCCTGGAAGTCCGGGTTCAGCCTGGGAGGACAGAGAAGGGCTGGTGTTCCAGGTACAAGGGGCATAGGCCCTCAGGTTTCCCCATTGCCCTCCACCCCTGCATTCTACCTTCTATACTCCAGGCTTTCCTGGCTGCATTTATATTTTAAGATACTAATACGATTCTTTGCAGTTGTAGGGCACTTCATAATTCTCAGAACACCTTCACATCCCTTAGAGCTCATTGATATTGTTATAACACCCATTTCTACTTTCCAGATAAAGAAACTAAGACCCAGAGTGAAAGCACTTGCCCAGAATTAAGCCAGTGAGTCAGTTGTGGACTGTAATCATAGTCTCCTGAATCCTACTCTGAAGCCCTTTCTGCTACTCCATAGTAGTTACTATGGAGACGGTCTTGATACCTACCCTCTAGTGACATCAACTGGGTTATTCTATTGCTTAACAAACCCCTTAGGGCATGGTGTCTGATAGCCTTTTGCAGTCTGACCCAGCTCAGAATTTGCTACTTTCTCTGTCAGCCCCATTGCCTTTTTGTCCAAAGACCCTACTTTCAGCCACATCTGGAATGTAGGTATATGTATGTAAAACACACACATAACACCAGGATCTATCTCACTCTCACTCACCTGTCACTGATGCCTGAAACGCCACCATTAGGGATTCATTCCTTTGGGTTTAGGGATTGTTCCCTGTTAAAATGGAAATACCCCTTGAGAGGGGTGAACACAATGTTATCTGTAGTTTACAAGTGTGGTGTAAATTGTCTTATCAGATCCTTCCCAATTTGCTAACTCAAGTAAAGCTGAGAACTTTTCAACAGGCTGAGCAGAGTCTTAAGAACACTACTCACCTGATCAGAACAGCTGAAAATACAGAAGGGTTTTGTATGTGACACAAATAAGACAAATGGACTGACAAGGACAAGTATATTTCCAGTGAACCTCCTCTTTCTCACACTATCCAATGCCATCACCTCCTTTGCATTTATTTTTCACCTGCTTTCCAAAGGGATTTTAGATAGTTTACAAATAGCACATTCCAAACAGGATGATTTGTAGAAAAGAAATGACCAGCCTGGCCAAAGAAATGTCCAGGTGGCTCAGTGGATTGAGCATTGTCCCATGCACCAAAAAGTCACCGGTTTGATTCCCAATCAGGGCACATTCCCGGTTATGAACTCAATCCCCAGTACGGGGTGTGCACAAGGCAGCTGATTGATGTTTCTCTTTCATGGATGTTTCTTTCTCTCTCTCTCCCTCTCCTTTCCTCTCTCTCTCTAAAAAAATCAATCAAAAATATTTTTTAAAAAGAACTATCCCACAGAAATATAATGAATTTCACAAATGCAAGCCATATATATAATTTTTTCACATAGGTAATGTAAACTTTTCTAATAGCCATAATAAAAAGAAAGTCAAAGGAAAGGGAAAGTTACATTTAATCATATTGTATTTAACCCAATATATGCAAAATATCATTCAATATATAATTAATATTAAAAATTGAAGTATTTTACACTTTATAGCACATCCCAATTTGGACAAACTGTTGAGTATTCAATAGCCACATGTGACTAAAGGCTTACCATACTGGACAGTGTGGATGTAGAAAATATAAACACGGAAGAGGAAGATTAGAAACCAGATTAAAGGGAGACAGAGATGTACCAAAGAATTAGGAAAGTAGGCCTATATTTAGCTCTGAAATTCCTGGCAAACAAAGCCAAAAGGGAAACATTAGGATATGTGGTTCTCATCATCTGATTCAAAGAAACAAATAGTTTGTGTGCAGAAACAATTAAACTCACAAATGTTCTTAATATGGAATTTCTTTTAAAAACTATGGAGTTAGCCTGGCTGGTGTGGGTCAGTGGTTGAGTGTCCACCTCTGAACCCAGAGGCCACGGTTTAATTCCCGGGAACGGCACATGCCTGGATTGTAGACTCCATCCCCAGTGGGAGGCATGCAGGAGGCAACCAATCAGTGATTTTCTCTCATCATTGATGTTTCTCTCTCTCCCTTCCTCTCTGAAATAAATAAAAATATATTTTATAAAGACAAAACAAAAACTATGGAGTTGATAGTTTGTAATTCAGTTTAAGCTTAATACATACAGTTTAAGTAAAACTTTTTGTATGAATTAACATATGCATAGATAGAGTTTAACACGTTTAGAGCAGCAATTTTCAACCTTTTTCATCTCATGGCACACATAAACTAATTACTAGTTCTGCGGCACACCAAAAAATATATTTTTTTCCAATCTGACAACAAAACAAAACAAATATAGTTTTGGTTCATTCACATCAGATGGCTATTGTGTTGGCTACTGTCATTTTTTTACTTGACAATCTAAGGGAAAAGAGGTCAGTGTCCTTGACTGAATAGTCAGATATTGCATGTTTTTAAAATTTTTGCAGCATACCATTTGAAAAATCTCTGTTTTAGAGAAATGAAAAGTGAATGGCTTTCTCTTAAAAAGCAGCAGTTTCAACTGAGCTTTGGGGAAGTACAGGCTTGAGTCACTTACAACTGAACTCTGTCTAATATGGAACTAGCCAGGTGGGCATGGGGTGTTGATTAGGGAGATCTAGACTTTTAGATATCAAATCTACAGTGAGACAACAAAAAACGCATTGTTCTTTTGTAGAAATAGAGGAACCCTACTTGTGTTCTCATCTAGACAGCAGTCCATTCCACTTGGGAATCTACAACAGGTTTGATGCCTTTGAGCAAGATTGGACACTTTTCTCAAAGACAGACCTGGGTTGGGACCCCAGAGTTCTGCACTACTGAACATGAATTTTAGCTTAAAATATTTATGGGCAGATTTTTATCATTAGATTACCTCTGTGCAGTTCCTAAGAACTTCTGATTTAGTTAGTACTTGCTCCTGAGGCATATTTCTGGGTGAGTTAGTATTAAAAATGGAGCCCTAAGAATTCGGATAAACTTGCCAGTTGGAAAGGGTTATTAACCTTCTCCATTTAAACAATAGTCCAGGCTGTGAGCTAGTATCACAGAACCTGGCTTATCACAACAGGTACTCAGGAAATATCTGTGAGATGAATGAATGGGAAACTGCCAAATACAGGATCTCTGTTTTAGGAGTGTTGATACTAAGCTGCTTATTCTAACAATTGGCTTTGAGGTTCAGCTGTTTCAGTCCATACCTCATTCACAGTAAGGTATTCAATTCAATTTTGCAAACATTTGTTGAGTGCCTGCTGCCCTGTGCCTGACCAGAAGACATGAAGCCAAAATACAAATAATAGAACCCTGTCTGTCATGAGCACAGAAAGACCTGCTCGGTCTCTATTGATTGTGGCAAAATGGTCTGTATCCAGTTCTAAGAAACAGTTGCCCAGTTAGTGAATATTCTCCTGTTTCAATACTCAGCTCTAGGGAATCCTCTTTGGTGAACACTCTTTCCTGGTAAAACTGATTGATTCCCTTGATGATTCCTATGTATGGCTTCCCCTGCTCCATCCCTTTTGCCCTATTACTTTTAGTTCTGTTTGGAATACAGTTTCTTCCTCCTTTTGCCTGGCTAATTCACGACCCAGCTCAGTTTTCATGTGTTCTAAGGCGCCTAATCTTATGCCCAAATCTTGGATGTGGAACTTCAGAGCGCCCAAAATACCCCATACTTGCTGCCATGGTAGCACACATATCACTAAGATGATCTGCTTACTATTTGTATGTAAACTCCACCGTGACCTCCAGGGCAGGAACCATGTTTCTCATAATAGTATTCCTACCTGGTGGCAAGTAGTAGGTGCTTAACATATACATTAAAAATTGCTACAGAGCAATACTATAAAGGAGAGGAACATGAGGTTACTATAACTGAGGAATCTGACCTGCTGAGCAGTCAGGGAAGACATTTTTATCTTTAACAATTATTTTATTTTAATTATTTTATTTTAAGGGAAGACATTTTAAAAGAAGTGATTGAGAGATGAAATTGAGGATAAGCACAAACTAACAGGGAGATGGGTGGGGGGATGAACATTCCAGGCAGAAATAACAGGTTCTATGGTGAGAGGTTAGTTGGAAATTTTGAAGACCTTAAAAAGGCCATATTACCCAGCTGGCATGGCTCAGTAATTGAGCGTCCACCTATATGAACCAGGAGGTCACTGTTTGATTCCCGGTCAGGGCATATGCCTGGCTTGTGGGCTTGATCCCCAGTGTGGGGAGTGCAGGAGGCAGCCAATCAATAATTCTCATCATTGATGTTTCTCTCTCCCTCTCCCTTCCTCTCTGAAATCAATTAAAAAATATTTTTAAAAAAGCCATATAACTGGAGGGGATAAAAGGTATGGTTAAGCAGGCTGGAGGGGGTCAATGGGAAGGGGACATTTGTAATACTTTCAACAATAAAGAGTTTTTTAAAAGTTATGGTTAGACTGGAGGCTAGAGAGGTGGACAGGAGTCAGGCTGAAATGTTGCTTGATGCTAAGAGTAATAAGATGCCACATAATAACTTTTTAAATGAATGTGGGATGGGGAAGGTGAACAATATCAAATTTCTACTTTTAAAGGATTACTCTGGTTGCAATATGCAAAATGTCTGGGAGGGTAGGCAGGAAGGATGTGATGAGAAGTTGACAAGACTTTATGATGAATGGGAAATGTAAGAGGTATTCAGGCTAAATCTTGGTTCTTTGGCTTCTGTAACGGTGGATAGAGGGTGAGAACACTGGAAGAAATTGAGGCTTGGAGTACATAGAGATTATGAGTTCAGTTGCAGACATGTTGAGTTTAGGTTGTCTTTGACATATCCTGAAGGAGATGTTGAAGAGGCAATTCGTTATACAGACCTGGAGCTTACAGATGAGAGCTGGGCTGGCGATGAATAGTTGTGTAATACAGATGGTAAGTGAAGTTGTGGATGATCATCCCCAACAAAGGAATATAGAGTGAGGTAGGAAGTGGACCTAGGACCAAGCCTGGAGGTACTTTAAGATAGCAAGTGGACAATCAGGGCCAGGTAGAAGCCAGCCAGAAACCAGCTAATCATGGCAGCATCAGACATGGGTGCTGTGTAGCCAGACTGTTTCCTGTTCCTGTTTGATTTCCATTGTCTTCCATCTCTCTAGTTTAAACTTGAAAGGAAGGATCTGAAACTCATTCAGGCTGAAGTGCAAATAATCTAATGTAGGCCAGACAGGTTTCTTTTCCCTGGGGCAGTTCCCACTTGTTGGAACAAGTCCTTTAACTAGAGAGGCTATAGGCTCAAGTTAGAGACTTGGCTGGGGGTTGGTGAACTGGAGTCTAGTCCTAGCTGTCACTGACTTGGTATGTGGCCTTGGGCAAGTCACTGTGCCTCTTTGGGTTTCAGTTTTCCAATCTGTGAAATGGGGATAAAAATCCTTGATTCACAAAGCTCCAAAGAGGCACTGGATATGAAAGCGCTGGGTAAGTTACTAAATGCAATAGATCGGTCATGAAGACTGTAAAAGGAATGAAGCTCTAACTGTAGAGCTTTGAGAAACAGATCATAGAGGAGGTGTAGGGGAAGTGGGAACTTGGGGACAGGAGCCCTAAGTGTGCGGAAAGATCCTGCTCAGACCGAGACGGAGGCTCTCCCTGGGGTCTTCCTGCTCGGAAGGACAGGGGCAGTGCAAGCCCATCAAGTTTCTTACATCTCCAGTATTAGGACCTGTGACTCTGTTACTCCCGTGTCTGGAAGACCCTGGGTCTCAGTTCATTAGGAAAACCAACCTTATGTCAGCGTGTCCGTATCTTCCAGGGTACCAGGGAGCCCCGTGTTCGTGATGGGGAGGTTCTTAAGCACCCCGGAACCCGTCTACCCTATATGGGTGTTGTGTCATGTTCACTGTGATAGAAAGTTTTTTTTGTTTTTGTTTGGGGGGGAGGGGTGTCTCAGGTCCCGGAGAAAGGAAGTGCCCCTCCCCTCTCCACAGAGCTCTTGTTCCCTAGAATGGGTTTCCCATTTTCCCGCCCGACTCACCCGCAGTTGCTGCCCCTCCAGCCTCGGCGTCCCACTCACTACCTCAGGGTTACCCAGCGCAACTCCATGGTAACTACCTAAGCCACCACACCGCGGCCTGGCGCCGAAAGCGCTGCCGCAATGCCTACCGGGAGATGTAGTTTGTTAGGGGCGGGGCTCCAAGGCCGCGAATATGTTGGGATTTGTAGTCTTTGCCCTCAAGTCGGGGCCGGGGGCCGGTAGTGGTGACACCCCTTCTTTTTTCCCAGTGGCCCTCGCACTTCCTTTTCCCGGGTCCTCAAGCGTGCCCCGGCGAGCACACCAGCTCCCGGAGCCTATCAGAGCTCCGGGCGAGGGGGCGGAGCCAGCGTTTAAACTAACTGTGCGCTCACAGGGCTGGCGCGGGCCCGCGTCGAACTCGATCCGGAGGAAGAGGAGGCCGGCGGGAGCGCGCGGCCCGGTAACCGGCGCGGGCCGCGGCTGGCGTTCAGCCTCGGGGCCCCCAGGAATGCCCAGGTCTGGAGGGGTTTCTGGAGAGGCGGGTGCGAGCAGAGGGCCTCTTTCGTAACGGAGTCTGGTGGAGGAGAATCGATCCGGGGTAAGGTTTGTGAGGAGAGGGGGGGTCTGTCGGCGGGGGAGGGGCCGGGCGGCCTGTTTGGGGGCGTGTCTGTAAGATGACGTCTGAGGGCGATCTTGTGGGTGGCGGTGGGGTGGGGGGAAATGCCGGTTTCTGACGTGCTTGTGACGAGGGGGTCTTGTAATGGGAAGTCTTTGCCTGTTGTTATTAGTAATACGTAGTAGGGATAAACATTTCTGAGCAACTACGTGCCAGACACTGCGCCACACCCTTTAGATGGGTCATTTAAAAAATATTCCTAACAACCTTATAGTGTATTACAGATGGGGAAATCTGAGGTTTAGCTCGGCCAGGGCTACCTAGCTAGTCCGTGGTGGGCTGTGCTGGGGCTTGGGGGGCTGGGCCTCAATGAGGACGGGAGGGGAGGAAAGAGGCTTGTGTGGGGGTGCAGGTTGTCTTGGACCAGCCACTTTATTTTAAGCGTCACTTCTCATGTATGTAAACAGCGAATTTACCTGCGTTTCCTACTTCCTGGGGTGGTTTTAAGGGTCAAGGCAGGCACGGTGTTTAGTGGAAGCGTGTTGGAGAGTGCAGGTTTGTGACTGCAAAGTGCCTGCGCGAAGGCTGTGCGTGGGAAGGAGCCCTCTGGGCGCCTCTCACTTCACCCCGCGGCAGCAGTGTTCATCCGCGTCCTCAGAGTGTCCGCCTGTTGCCCTTCTAGGTAGTGTCCTCTGTCCCGGTATCCTCATGCCTATGCGATACGAAACGTTGGCATGGTCATTACTTACTTTGAAATGAATGAGCTTTTTGAGGCCGAAAGGGGATAGGAGCCTGGCCTTTCTATCTTCATTCAGTGGCGTTTGGACCTCTGTATTATGCTCTCCTCTTGCCTGGAATGGAACTGCTTCCTGGCAGTGTTATAATATTTACCTGCTTTAATGCAGGCTTTGCTCTCTGGTGTCTGTTGCCTAGTCTTGTATTGCCAAAGTTATGGGTTATCAGATGTGTAACTGTGTGTGTGGGCAGAAACCTTCGATGGGAAGGGAATTGTGGAGATCTGTACTGAGGTGAATAGAAGGGAATCTGGAGGGAATGTTCAGATCACATCAAGGAGCTTTCAGTCAGCAGGGGTGAGTGTGCGTTCCCTCTTTTTCCGTTTCAGCGTGGTATTTATTTCCTCTTGTAGAGGAAGAGGCACATTACTTAGGAGGCCCAAGTGGAAGCAAATGATGAATCTTAATCTAAAGCCAAAAGCTCCACTCCCCCACAAACTAAAAGATATTGTCCCAAAGCTCACATAAACATTTCTATTTAGAATGTTTTTTGTTTTTATTTATTTATGGAATATGGGAGTGGGAAGAATGCCTAAGAAGTAAGACTGGAGTTCTAGAACTGTTGGGATAGGGACAAAGCCCTGCCTCAGATGGCCAAACAGAGCTGCTGAGGGAATGTTTTGTGTCTAATTGATAAAACCCTATCTATGGTCAGTAGGTATCTTAGGGGTCATTTATTTCAGCCACTTGCCTCCTGTACACGAAAAATATTAACAGGTGTTATCTATATAAAAAATAAGCACTTCTATAAATGAAACTAGGTGTTCCCAAAGGCAGTCAACACCAATGTTTAACAATTCTAATTAGTAATAATTACTGTTTTGTGCTGTCAGTGATTCATTTTACCTGTATATATTTACTCTTTTTTTCTTCTTTTCTGGTTTTATTTTTTATTTTTATTTTTATTTTTTATTTTTTTTTAGAGAAAAAGGGAGAGGGAGAGAGAGAAACATTGATGAAACAGATATCAATTGGCTGCCTCCTGCATGCCCCCTACTGGAGATCGAGCCTTCAACCCAGCGCATGTGCCCTTACTGGGAATCAAACCAGTGACCTTTTGGTGCATGGGATGATGCTCAACCAACTGAGCCACACTGGCTAGGGCTACATTTATTTTTTTCACCACTCTTTGTTGTGAGTTATTTATTTCTTTTGTGTCAAACAGATAGATATGACCTTCATGTGTTTTCTTTGATGAGGGTCTGTTGTTGATAAACACTCATTGTTGGAATATATCTTTACTTCCTCTTCAGTCTTGATTGATAATTTAGCTGGGTATTAGGTTTCCAATTATTTTCTCTGAGCACTTTGAAAATGTTATTCCACTGAAATTCTGGCTTTTACTCTTGAAAACTATGCTGACAGTTTATTACTTCATTGTAGGTAACTTGCCTTTTTTTCTGAATATTTAAAAGATTTTTTTTTTTGTCATTTGTGTTCTGTAGTTTCAATACAGGGTGTGGATTTAATTTTATCCTATTGGAAGTTTATAGTGATTCTTCAAACTGAGTTTTCATATCTTTCATCAGTTTTGTAAAAATTCCCCATCATTATCTCTTTAAATAGTGCCTCTCATATTTAACTTAAATTAAACCTCCTTATTCTGTCCTCCACATCTCTTACTCTTTCATAATTTTCATCTCTATATTTCTATAACCTTTATCTTTGCATGCTGATTTACTCTTCAGCTAGATTTAATTTGTTTTTTGAGTTCTTATTTTTATTTTTAGACATATTCTTTGGTTCATTTTCAAATCTACCTGTTTTTTTATGGTATCTTTGTTTTTAATTCATTTTATGTTATAATAATTTAAAATAAATTTAAATTATAGTCTCTGTCATATTGTTCAATTATCTAAATTTTTTAGAGTTATAATCCTGCCATTTGTTGTAACCAATTCTTGCTCATAATAAATTATTTCCTCAAGTATTTTGTAATTGTGGTAAGCTCGTATTCAGAGGTGCAGCATCTACGATAATTTTATGTAGTGTGTGTTGAGGTCAGTTCTCCCAAGAGTAGTTTTTTAAAAAAAATATATTTTATTGATTTTTTACAGAGAGGAAGGGAGAGGGATAGAGAGTTAGAAACATCGATGAGAGAGAGAAACATCGACCAGCTGCCTCCTGCACAGCCCCCACTGGGGATGTGCCCGCAACCAAGGTACATGCCCTTAACGGGAATTGAACCCGGGACCCTTCAGTCCGCAGGCTGACGCTCTATCTACTGAGCCAAACTGGTCAGGGCCCAAGAGTAGTTTTTTTTTTTTTTTTTTTAAATCAGCTTTGCTTAGGTGTAATTTATGTTAATTAACTTTAAAGGAAAAAGAGTTTTGACAAAGGTGTACACCTAGAAGAAGGCACTGCCTTCAATAGTTAAGATTGCTTGAAAACTGCAAAGACTGAAAAACAAAATCCAATTTACTAGTAAGTCTTACAACAAGCAATGGGGAATTTATGAAGTTGCAAAAATTCTTTAAAGCTATCACTAATTGTACTGAAAAATCTAGCCATATCAATTTAGGCCCGAAAAAGAAAGAAAAGGCATCGAAATTGGAAAGGAAGAAGTAAAATGATCTCTGTTTACATATTATATGACCTTATATACAGAAAACTCTGAAGATTCCACAAAAAAACTGCTAAAACTAATAAATTCAGCAAAGTAGCAGGATACAGTGTCAAAACACAAAAATCAGTTGCATTTCTATACACTAACAATGAACAATCTGAAAATGAAATTACATGAACAATTCCATTTCCAATAGCATAAAAAATAATAAATATTTAGAAATTAACCAAAAAGGTGAAAGATTTATATAGTGAAAACTCCAAAGCATTGCTGAAATTAAAGAAGACAAATAGAAGTACATTTTATGTTCATGAATTGAAAGATATATATTATTAAGATGTCAATACTACCTACAGTTTACTCTTATTTGTTAGCTGCGTCCTGATTCTCTGAGGAGAGGGTGTTGCCTGATGCTCGTGGTATCAAACCAATCCCTATCAAAATCCTAGCAGGGTTTTTTTGTTTTGTTTTGTTTTGTTTTTTTTGCAGAAGTAGAAAAACCCATACTAAAATTTATATGAAATCTCAACATACCCCAAATAGCAAACACATTGAAAAAGAACAAAGCTGGAGGACTCACAATCCCTGATTTCAAAACTTACTAGAAAGTAGCAATAGTTAACACTGTGTGGTACTAGTATAAAAATAGACATATTCAACAATAGAAAAAAATAGAGAACCCAGAAATAAACCCTCTAAAACAGGTGGGGAAATCTTTTTTTCTACCAAGGGCTATTTAGATATTTGTAACATTATTTGTGGGCCATACAAAATTATCAACTTAAAAATTAGCCTGCTATATTGAGTCAAACACTTAATTTACTCACCCCTAATGCCTTGGCAGGGCCAGACCAAATGATTTCATGGGCCTTATGTGGCCCATGGCCTGGATGTTCCCCACCTGCTCTAAAATATGGTCAAATGATTTTTGATAAGGGTTTCAAGACCTTCAGTGGGGAAAGGACAGTTTTTTCAAAAAATAGTGCTGGGAAAACTGGATATTCACATGGAAAAGAATAAAGTTGGACCCTCACCTAACACCATATATAAAAGTTAACTAGCCCTAGCTGATTTGGCTCAGTGTATAAAGTGTCAACCTGTAGACTCAAGGGTCTCAGGTTCGATTCTAGTCAAGGGCACATGTCCAGGTTGTGGGCTCGATCCCCATTGGGGAGCATGCAGGAGGCAGCCAATTGATGATTTTCTCTCATCATTGATGTTTCTATCTCTCTCTCCCTCTTCCTTCCTCCCTGAAATTAATAAA